CCAGGTGGTACCTCCCTCCTGAGTTTTATCTCAGATGCAACTGTAGTTCCCAACCCTTCATTTCTTAGAGACTGCATCTTTGACCCGCTCAGACCTTCTGGGGGAGGATCTCACCAAGCAATGGCAGGATGCCAGCCCACCCCAGAAAAAGTTCACACGATTGTATAGCAGGGATTATGGAAAATCACAACACACATCTGGCACCAGGCTTCACCCTTAATGTCTTTTTTCCAGCACCAGCGAATGTGGTTGTTCTCCAGGGTCCACTGGGACCTTTGCCTGTGGTGTGGTCACATTCTCTACCAAATGTCCTCCCAGCAGGAGAACCACCTCTCCCCATGTGGCCCAAGGACTCCCTAGACCATACTCTGCTTCTGGTGATTCACCCTTCCCGCCAGGGCACCTCCAGGTATCAAGCTGTAGAGTTTAGACTCTGTGCTCCCTGTTTATAGCGTTTTATTGGAATTTAAACCTTCTCCTTTCTCCCTTTTTAGTTAAGTCCCTGTGGCTGTTTCCACTTTTCCATATTCTCTAGCTGCTTTTGCGGGGGGTGCTTTTCCCATACTCTCCCCCCATCTCCATCCTCTCCACAAGCAAAAACAGCTCCCTGCCCTCCGTGGCTTCTGTCTCCTTCAGTTCACTACTCCACACCACATAGTTCTGTGGTTCAGGTTGTGCAGATTGTTGTCTTCATCCTCAAATCAGTTTTCTCGATGTACAGGATGGTTTAGTGTTGATCTGGCTGTATTACATGGACCTGAGATGCAAAATGAACTTCCATGCTGTTCTGCCATCTTGGCCTCTTCTGAGGTTGAACATTTTGCATCGACTTTGTGTCAACTGTGTTTTCCTATTTTGCTGTTGGGATATTGATCTTTTCCTTAATGATTTCTAGGAGCCCTTCAAACATCCAAGAAGTTAGGTATTTGTCTGAAACATGAGTTTCAGACATTTTTATCCTGAAAAAATGGGCTTTTTTCTTTTCTTTTCTTTTTTCTATTTCTTTCTATAGAGAGCATGCATGAGCCAGGGAAGAAGCAGAGCAAGAAAGAGAATCTTAAGCAGGTTCCATGCCCAGCACTGAGTCTGATATAGGTCCTGACATGGGACTCGATGTCACAATCATGACCTGAGCCAAAATCAAGAGTCAAATGCTTACCCAACTGAGCCACTCAAGCACCCTTGTAATGGTGGGCTTTTTATTGGTGGATATAGGCAGACTTCTCCTTTTGCTTTTGTTATTTTTATGCAGCCAAATGTATCACTCTTTTATGTCTTTTGGGTTTGGGATTATATTTTATTTATTAATTTTTTTAAGTTTATTTATTTTTGAGAGAGAAGGAGACAGAAATCTGAAGTGGGCTCCATGCTAACAGCAGTGAGCTTGATGTGGGACTCAAAACTCACAAACCAGGAGATCATGACCTGAGCCAGGTTTCGATGCTCTACCAACTAGGCCACTCAGGTGCCCCTGTGGTTATATTTTAAATGACTTTGTCTACTCTTAAGATTTTTTTAAATATGGTTTTATATTTAAATCTTTGATTCATTTAAATTTGAATATAATATACCAAATTATATTTGAATTTACATAATTTTATATATTCTTTAAATATACTATATAATACCATTTAATTATGCTGTATTTATAAACTATAGTTTGGTGTAGGGATCCATCATTATTGAATTGGACTGCAAAATGAACCAATTGATAATAGACGTGTTTGGTTTAGCTACATAAGTCTTGGTGGGTTAGCTATGAGAATCATCCCTAACTCTCTATAGACTTAAATTTATTTCCTAAGCACCTGGTATGTCACCTGAAACAAAGTGAGTAGTTAATAAATCTTTTTTTTTTTTAAGTTGTTAACATTTATTCATTTTTGAGAGACTGAGTGTGAGTGGGGAAGGGACAGAGAGAAGGGGAGATGCAGAATCTGAAGCAGGCCCCAAGCTCTGAGCTGATGTGGGGCTTGAACTCACAGACCATGAGATCATGACCTAAGCCAAAGTCGGATACTTAACCAACTGAGCTACTCAGGCACCCCAATAAGCTGATGATAAACTCAATAGAAAGGAAGTTTCCGGGTATGATATATTATCTTAGTTACTTACCACTGTTTTGGATGAAAGAGAAATGATACCACAAACACAGTTGATTTCTATTACACAAAACCTTAGAATCATGAAATTTTGGATCCAGAGACTAGAATGATTATTTACTTGACAAATAAATAATGAGTTCCTATTACTTACAGGTATTCCAGTTGGGAATCAGGAGACAGTTAAACAAATATGTCATGTGATGTAATAGTGTAAATCAAAATGGAGCCATGTACAGACAGTAGAGAGTAACAAGAAGTAGAGTGCTGCAGGGGTCCACACTAGCACAGGTCACAAAGGACAAGGACAGTTGAATTGTTTTTACGTCACATGAGCACATGTGCAAACAAAAAATTTGAGAGGTAATGAGAGTTAACTTTCAAGAGACAGTTCTAAGTATCCCAGGGAAGTTGAAAGGAGAATCCATTGTTTTTGTCTGGGTCCCTGTTATCTTTAGATTACATTGTAAACTAGTGGGCTTGACTATATTTTTAGGTTAATTTTGTTATAAATATCATGCACATTTAGATTAACATGAGTGCACTTTAAGCAAAATTAACAAATTTGTCATTCTAATAGGAAACTAAAGTCATTTATGCAATTAAAGCCAAACTTATATGCTACCCTTGGACATTTCAGCCATGACACTCCTCCCTGCTAGTGGAAGTCTAGTCAATATTTCTTGCAGTAATTTCAAGCACTGCTCAAAGAAATCAGGGGGAAAGGCTAGTAGAAGTTCTTGAGGTTCCAGTACTTTATACTCTCAACAAAAGTAGCTCTGCTTTTATATTTAATTTCTTCTGAACTTTCAAGTAAGACTACATTTTGTAATTTGAAATTCTAGAGTAATTGTAATTTGAACTATAAAGGACGTGTAACTCTGACCAAAAGACCCACCATGTGTGCACAGAAGTGACAGGTCACATTTTAGGAGCAAATCACTGCAGGTGGTTTAATTCCATTTAGACATAGAGATAATTGCCTGAAGGAGATAGGAGCTGAGACTTCTCTAGTGCAAACCCACTGGTTAGGATAGAGATCCTTTTAATATGTGTAGTATTTTTGTAGATATGATTGTTCTATGGAGAATGAGTGAATCTGCCAAAACTTTGTAGTCGCTAAGTTATATTTTGCCAGGATTGTAGAGCTCCAGGTTACAAGAATAGCATATTCTCTCGGCATATTGGTACCAGAATCTGATTTAATCATGATTTCTAACATTTTGATTTGTTCTTATTTCTTCCTATATGCTTCAAGATGGTACTTAACTTGTACCAAAATTTGGGATAGAGATTTATTCATTTATATATAAAGAATATGCCTTGATATTTCAACTAAAGATAGTAAATTTATGATTGTGGTATTTTATTTCATATAAATCAGTATTAAATTCTACAAAAATCATCAATTTATGCAGACTTATCACTCTTTGAGCTTATTTTAATAATGAAGAGCATAAATTGCTGAGCATATCCTCTTCTTAAGTACTGTAAGTTGCAAATAGGTTCTAATATCAGAATTATTTTATTTTAATTCTAGAGGTTATCATTTAAGATTTGTTAGAATGTAGTGAAAATTAGGAAGAGCTACATACTTTAGAAAAAGGTTTTCAGAGATTTTGGATTCCTGTGGGCCACAGAGCTTATATATTTGGATCTCCCAATGATTGGTACATAGTAGGTACTCCGTATCTATCCACTGAAGTAAATTTATTCAAAACTTAATAATTTTATTATTTGCAGCAAAAACATATGAAGCAAGAAATTGCGTTCAAAGATTTCAGATAAGGAAAATTAAAGTCTGGAAATAGCACTAATCAAGATTATCTTCTGAATATGACATAAGGACCTATAATTTGGGGAGTCTACCACTTTTAAAATAAGGTTTTCAGCTCCTTGCAGATTCCTGATATATTTTCATTTGGGAAAACAGGGCTTACATTGGTTCAGTTTTATGATTTGCTAGCCATGTGACTTTGGACATATCTGTTTCTTCATTTGTAATAAGGATAAAAATAGATCCTCTGCACGTATGTTGTGAAATTAAATGAGATAAAATTCATAAAATGCCTGATTCATAGTGTTTAAATAAAAATGTAATTTTATTAATATAATGCTCTTTGCATTTAATTCTTAGAGAAACTATTTAAAATGCAAATACTGCTTGTGACAAAAGTATTTAGTCTATTTCAAAGTTTAAAATGATAAATTCTGTTCCCATTTTTCAGTTAGAAAGAAGGGATTAACCAAACATGTGGCGTTTAACACTTGATATATCAACAATTGAGAAGGTTAAGAAAAATCTATACCCTGAGACCGAAGAAGACAATATTAAACTCTACTAACCTTCAAACAATTGGAGCACCCCCTTTCTGGAACTCCTACCCCAAAGAGAAAAGGGTTTTAGCTAAAACAACAAGTGTTAGTTAACAGCAGTGCTTCTGCTGATCAATGGTTATTTTTTTTTTTTATCAAATCAGATTTTATTATAAAGATCATGATTCCCAAAGGGGTCCAATAATGTAGACACCTGCACATTTTAGAATAAAAGACAAAGGGTGACATAGAAACTCATAGTATTTATAGTCATTAAGTATGTGAACAGTTTCTTCAGTGGACTTCAGTTTTTAAAAATGATTTTGATATATTCTTTACAAGGTAACTTGAGCTGCATCTAGACTTAGTCTTAAAGCTTTTCGAATCCAATTCCCTATTTTACAGTAGAACTCATGTCCGTAGTTTCCCGTAACACAAATGACCTTTTGACTCTCAAAAGGGTGTTACTGCCCCTCTGCTGCCTTCCTGCCTGCTATCTGGCACTGACATTTCCATTTCATTTCTAACTGTAGGAAATATTTGTATATTGTTAAAGAGTTTGTCTTATTTTTTTTCTTCTAGATGGATTTTAAAATTGAATACACTTGGGATGGTTTTCCTGTGAAGCACGAGCCAGTGTTTGTCAGGCTGAATCCAGGTGATGGAGGAGTGGTGATGGAAGTTAGTGCCCCATTTTTCAATGATCCTCCAGCCCCACTTGGAGAACCAGGAAAACCTTTCAATGAACTGTGGGATTATGAAGGTAAGTGGAAGTACTATATTTTATTCCAAACATAAATCTTTTTATAATACCCTCTCCTAAACCTATTATTTTATCTTGTTGTAAGGAAGTGCATGCTCTTCTGAGCAGCTGACATGTGCAGTTTCTTCCATTTCCTCCCAATCTCTCATTTTGACTTTTTCACCATCACCTATGTGACTTCAGCTATATAACTAGAAGAGTGAAAAATGGCAATTACAAATCCAGATTTTTAAATTGTTGCCATATTTCTTTCCTTTACTTCTGATACCTCTTTTAGGAAGAGTTCAGCATTTCTGTTTTGTCTTTAAGTATCTTCAGATTGCCACTTTAATCTTATAAACCTTCTTTATGGAAGTTCGGGGATGTATTACTTATTATAGAAACCCTGTCAACTTTATTTTTTTTTTTATTTTTTACAAATAGTTTATTGTCAAATTAGTTTCCACATAACACTCAGTGCTCATCCCCACAAGTGTCCTCCTCCATGCCCATCCCTCCTCCCCCCCACATCCATCAGTCCTCAGTTTTTGTCAGCATTCAAGAGTCTCTCATGGTTTGCCTCTCTCCCTTTCCCCCACCATTTCCGCCCTTCTTCTCCCCCTTGTTCCTCCGTCAAGTTCCTCCTAATCCTCCTATACGTGCAAACATACGATATTTGTCCTTCTCTGCCTGACTTATTTCGCTCAGCATAACACCCTCAAGGTCCATCCATGTTGCTACACATGGCCAGATTTCATTGTTTCTCATTGCCATGTAGTATTCCATGGTATAGATAAACCACATCTTCTTGATCCATTCATCTGTTGATGGACACTTAGGCTCTTTCCATGTTTTAGCTATTGTGGAGAGTGCTGCTATGAACATTGGGGTACATGTGCTCCTATGCCTCAGCATTTCTGTATCCCTTGGGTAAATTCCTAGCAGTGCTATTGCTGGGTCCTAGGGGAGTTCTATTGTTAGTTTCCTGAGGAACCTCCACACTGTTTTCCAGAGGGGCTGTACCAGTTTACATTCCCACCAACAGTGTGGGAGGGTGCCCGTTTCTCCACATCCTCGCCAGCATCTAGAGTTCTCTGATTGGCTCATTTTAGCCACTCTGACTGGCGTGAGGTGGTATCTCAGTGTGGTTTTGATTTGTATTTCCCTGATGAGGAGGGATGCTGAGCATCGTTTCATGTGTCTGTTGGCCATCTGGATGTCCTCTTTGGAGAAGTGTCTGTTCATGTCTTCTGCCCATTTCTTCACTGGGTTGTTTGTTTTTCGGGCGTGTAGTTTGGTGAGTTCCTTATAGATTCTGGATATTAACCCTTGATCTGATATGTCATTGGTAACTATCTTTTCCCATTCCGTTGGTTGCCTATTAATTTTCTGGGTTGTTTCCTTGGCTGTGCAGAAGCTTTTAATCTTGATGAGGTCCCAACAGTTTATTTTTGCTCTTGATTCCCTTGCTTTTGGGGATGTGTCAAGTAAGAAGTTGCTGTGGTGGAGGTTAAGGAGGTTGTTTCCTGCTTTCTCCTCTAGGGTGTTGATAGTTTCCTGTCTCACGTTCAGGTCCTTTATCCATTTGGAGTTTATTTTTGTGCATGGTGTGAGAAAATGATCTAGTTTCATTCTTCTGCATGTTGCTGTCCAGTTCTCCCAACACCATCTGTTAAAAAGACTGTCTTTTTTCCATTGGATATTCTTTCCTGCTTTGTCAAAGATCAGTTGGCTGTATACTTTTGGGTCCACTTCTGAGTTCTCAATTCTGTTCCATTGGTCTATGGGTCTGTTTTTGTGCCAATACCATACTGTCTTGATGATGACAGCTTTGTAGTAGAGGCTAAAGTCTGGGATGGTGATCCCTCCCGTTTTGGTTTTAGTTTTCAGTATTACTTTGGCTATTCGGGGTCTTTTGTGTTTCCATATAAATTTTTGGATAGTTTGTTCTAGTTTTGAGAAGTATGCTGGTGCAATTTTGATTGGAATTGCATTGAATGTGTAGAGTGCTTTAGGTAATAATGACATCTTAACTATATTTATTCTTCCTATCCATGAGCATGGAATGTTTTTCCATTTCTTTGTGTCTTCTTCAATTTCCTTCATAAGTTTTCTATAGTTTTCATCATACAGATCTCTTGTATCCTTGGTTAGGTTTATTCTGAGGTATTTTATGGTTTTTTGTGCATTTGTGAATGGGATCAGTTTCTTGATTTCTCTTTCTGTTGCTTCATCATTGGTGTATAAAAATGCAACCGATTTCTGTACGTGGATTTTGTACCCTGCAACTTGGCTGAATTCTTGATCAGTTCTAGTAGGCTTCTGGTGGAGTCTGTCGAGAAACCCTATCAACTTTAATATGAAATTTAGTTTTTATTTTATACTGACAATCTCGCACATCACATGAAGGCTAAAAGACATGCCGTGAAATTATATTATGCCAGGTTTGCTATATGATCCCCTTCTAATGTATCCTTATTAAGCAACCAAGTTTATCTTTCTGAAATACTCTTTATGATTCCATTCTTCAGATCACAAATCATAACTGTCCCTGAGATAAAGTTCAAACCCTTCCTGTAAGATTTCAGAGTACTTATAGTCTGGGGTATCATATTCAACCAAAAGCTCTTTTTAAAAAAAAAAAAATTAAAGTATCATTGAAACACTATGTTACATTAGTTTCAAGTATACAGCATAATGATCTGACAAGTCTGAATATTATACTATGCTCACCACAAGTGTAGTTGCCGTCAGTCTCTATAGGGTGTATTACAGTATCATCGATTAGATTCCCTATCCCTGTGACTTATTCATTCCAAAACTGGAAGTCTCTATCTCCCACTGCTTTTCACCCATGTTGTCTGTCCCCCTCCAGCACCCGTAAGTTTGTTCTCTGTATTTGTAGGTCTGTTTCGCTTTTTGTTTACTCATTTGTTTTGTTTTTTTAGATTCCATATATAAGTGGAATCATATGTCAACTAAAAGCTCTTGACTTCTGAAAGGCTAATGGTCTTAACTATCCATGCATATTCTCACCCATGTACCTTTTCTCATTCTATTCCCCCCAGCTCTAATGCACTTAGTTCTAAAGTCTAATACAGGTTTCATTTCTTTAAAGAGACCTTTGATGACTCTTATAGTTCATACATCTGTATAGCATTTGTATAGCATGCATTTTGTCAGTGTTAACTTATCATATGTTAAACATATGTTATACTGAACTTGTATATACCACCTACCTATTGGTGTAGACACCAATGTGATTTAACTGCCGGAGGTGCTACAGACACCGAACTCAAGAGCTCAAACTCATCTACCTCTGTCATAAACCTGCTTCTTTCCCCAATTGCCCAATTACTTAATACACCAATTCAACAAATACAGAAATATGAAATCTTTCCAATATATCCTTCTCTCTCACTCTCCATATTTGGACTTATTTATTGAGTTCTATCAGCTTTACCTCCTAAGTGTGTCTTCATCCCCACCATCCCTGCCATAGGTTAGGCCTTTCTGATCTTTTACCTGGACCAGTCAAAGCCTCCTTACTTGTCCTTTTGCCCTTGGGTTTGTTCTTTACTTAGAAGCCAGAGTGATCTATCTAAACTGAAAATTCAAACTCATAGTTCAGGTCTTTACAAATCTTTTCAGGCTCCCTGTCCTCTCAGGATAGTTTCATCTTTCTTATTATGCTTTTTATGTAAGATTTTCCATGACCTACCCCCTTGTTCTCTTCGCAGCATTGCTTCTTTGTGCACTTCAATGTTTGCCTAGAAAGACTGAACTGCTTGTAGTTCTTTAAGGGAAAATATTTTCTAATCATGTACATTAGATTACACTTCTCTTTCACCCTGCAATGCCCTTTTCATCATTCTTCTTCATTCCACCCAATTCCAACTCATCTTTCAAGATGGAGCTTAGGTAACACCTTCTCCAGGAATCCTTCCCTAAACTACCTTTTGGATCTAAGGATCTTATTTTTTTTTTCCTGTAGTTGCCATCTATACCTCCTTTCCTTTTGATATTTTTATTAAAAGTACCCACTTTCATGTCTGATTAGGTTGTAAGCTAATGAAAGTATTTCCAGAATCTGATACAAGGTTTAATACAGAGAAGATGCAAAAATGATTTTAAGAGGATTATGAAAAATAATAATTAGAAGATATATTAGAGTCCTTCAGAGAAACAAGACCGAGAGATACAGTGTGTGTGTGTGTCTGTGTGTCTGTGTGTCTGTGTGTCTGTGTGTCTGTGTCTGTGTAAAGAGAGGGATTTATTTTAAGGAATTGGTATGTGCACTTTTGGAGTCTGCATTCTTATTTCATGTACATTTTATTATTGTTCTGTAGCCTGCTTTATCACATTCATGGATATCTTCCCATATACAAAATATTTAACTGTATAATTTGATTGTAGTTACTGCATTATGTATTTTTGCACTGAATATATAAATTTCATAATTTATTTAACAGCTTTCTTGTATAACAGGAGTTTCATTTATATAATAGGAGATTACTATTTAGATCATTCTAAATTTTTGAGCAATACTTTGATGACTGGCATTATATTTATTTCTTTTCTCAGTTGTCTGATTATTTCTTTAAGATAAATTCCTAGAAAAGAAGATAACTGGCTAAAAGTTTCTGTAATAATGTTCATTGTTTTAGAAACTCACCCACCACTAAGCTTGATTAATATTTTTAATTCATGACAATCTGATATAGGAAAAAAACGATAATTTATTTTCTATGTATTTCTTTTTCGAGGCAATGTGTATTTTTATTTTTTCTTTTTCCTATTGAGGATAGAATTATAGTTAAAAATAATGAGTTAATTAATTTTATATTTTTAAAACTGAAGTATTTAGTACTGAAGCAAAATCAAGTTTTTCAGTATGTCTTATCTCTGTTTTCAAAAGTTGTGGAAGCATTTTTCTTGAATGACATAACTGAACAGTATTTAGAGGTTGAACTTTGTCCGTAAGTATAAAATTTTTTTCTAACTCATTACTTCATAATTTGAATACAATTACTTTCTCATTATAAATTATATTGTCATGGAAAAGCTCAACTAATAGGAATGCTAATCTGAACTAATCAGAATTATGTATAATTCTTTATTTTCAAGTTAATGTATAACATATGTTATAAATCTTTGAAAATATTATGTTGATATTATTTTCTTTATTTTCTTTTTTTTAATTAAATTTTTTAAATGTTTTATTTATTTTTGAGTGAGAGAGAGAGAGACAGCATGAGCAGGGGAGGGTCAGAGAGAGAGAGAGAGAGACAGAATCCGAAGACAGACTCCAGGCTCTGAGCTAGCTCTCAGCACAAAGCCTGACACGGAACTCGAACCCACAAACCATGTGTTCATGACCTGAGCCAAAGTTGGATGCTTAACCAACTGAGCCACCCAGGTGCCCCTGATGATATTATTTTCAATTCACTAAAGTGGCTGGTTTTCTTATTAAACCATTTTTTGTAAAATGAAAAATCATTATAAATAACAAACTCACTCTCATTATATATTTTGAAATTTGCATTAATATATGTTAGCTATTCAGAAATAAAAGGAGATATAGATACAGTGAATTGAACTAGTTTCTTTTAGGGAGTTTTTAAAATGACTATATTATATTTGAATTTTATATATTACATAATTATGTATTCCTTCCTTTATTCATCATTCAATTATTGAGTGTAAACTATGTCGCTTTGTGTTCAATGCCAGGGATAAAAGTTAAATCACACATAGCTTTTTTTAGACTTATTAAAAAAATTAACCTTGGACTCTTTTGTTCAAATTTAACCAGTCCTTTGGGAACCCTCTTTACCTAGTTGGCAGTTTTTCCTAAATATGTGAAAAAGTAAATTTATGCCTACCTTTCATCTAAAATTTTAAATTAGTAAAACATTTAGTAATGAAATATTTCTTTATATTGCCATTATCCATTTTAAATGAGCTTTATTTTTTTTTTAATTTTTAATGTTTATTTTTGAGAGAGAGAGAGAAAGGGTAAGCAAGGGAGGGGTAGAGAGAGAGGAAGACACAGAATCTGAAGCAAGCTCCAGGCTCTGAGCTGTCAACACAGAGCCCAAAGTGGGGCTAGAACCCACAAGTTGTGAGATCATGACCTGAGCTGAAGTCAGATGCCATACTGACTCAGCCACCCAGGCACCCCTTTTAAATATGTCTTAGTATCTAAATCCAATAGCCTTTCTCCCTTTATAGGATGGGCAGAGTCCCAAATAGTGGTTCTAAATGAGATTTTAGATACTATTTTCTTTTCCCTTATTTTGATTTTTTGCTAATTCTAATGTGGAAAATATAGCTGTTCACAATTATATTTTTGAAAACAATCATATATATTTGTGTGTACCTTTTAACTAACACGCCAGAATGTTTTGTTGGAAAATACAATTAAACTGTCATGCAAGGAAATAAAACTTCAACTGTTGTGTGATTATTTCCATTATACAAGAGAGAAAGCTAAGGCAAATAGGCTTATAACTTGTCTAGAAAGCAGTTAAGAACTTCGATATGCTAGAAATCTAAAGTTTTATCCTTAGTTTTAATTTCATCAGATGATACAGTTGATTTTCATAAAATATTGCCTCAGTAAATGAACAGGATAATTAGATTCTCTTTTGTTTTTAAATAATATAGCAACTATTATGCATAAAATTAATTCTAAAAGTTAAAAAAATCCATAGAGTAGTTTTGTTTCATATATTCCAGGACAGTTACTAATCAAGAATCATGGTTTCGCTTCAGCAATCAACTCCTATGACAGTTAATTAGCCTCTAGGAAAGCAACACAAAAAATGTTGTTGTTTTAATTTGCAAGGACTTTTACTCCTCTTGGGATATTCTTAAGGTTGAATAATAATACAAATAAGCAGAGAACTTTTAAATGAAAAATAATACTTGTTAGAATAGTTTACTGAAGGAAATCCTCCCTGAAAAGCTTACAACAGACCATCTGAGGAGAAATGTTTAGTGTTTTCCAGAGACAGTAAATTTGTTTCATGTAACTATCTGAAATCCTTTGATTCTTACTGACCTGGATCATCCTAATTATGCTCTCTTAATAGAATTCCTTCTGAGGATATATTTTGTTTATCTTTGAAAATGTGATGTCAGTGTCTGAGCTAATGGTACACACACACACACACACACACACACACACACACACACACAAACAACAGGAAAACAAGAGGCAGACAGATGGAGGAGAATTGTGTGAAAGAAGAGATACAGTTAAAATCTTCAGCCTTTTGACTTGTGTTAGACAATCTATGTTTTTATTTTCTATCTTACTGATGAGCTTCAAGATAGTTTTTTTTTTTTTTTTAATAGAAACAACCTTTAGTAAAGTTGTTGGATTCAGATGTAGGTATTCGTGCAAGCTTCCCTTAGGGTGTTTTAGTTTTCAGGATGGGTTTTATTATGACCACCAGATACTATGGTATTCCCCCTTCCCCTTTTCTGTCTTTTTTTAAAAAATTTTTTTAACATTTATTCATTTTTGAGAGACAGAGACAGAGTGCAAGCAGGGGTGGGGCAGAGAGAGAGGGAGACACATAATCTAAAGCAGGCACTAGGCTCTGAGCTGTCAGCACAGAGCCCAATGTGGGACTCGAACTCACAAACTGAGATCATGATCTGAACTGAAATGAGACACTTAACTGACAGAGCCACCAAGGCACCACCCCCATCTCTTTTTCATTCTTTGCCTCATCTGACACATGTAGCTTTTTGCATTTGACTGCAATGGTATGAAAAATGGTAAGCTTGACGACACATTTCTAAGTAACTGAGCACACTGGTTCTCCCTATAATTATCCATTATTCATATTGCACCTTTTAATTATTTAGAAATTTGGTTATAAGCATACACACTGCAGGTATGAAAGAAAGTAAAGAAAAGAACATGTGTTTCTTTCAAACTCTCATGAGGAATTTTAATTTTGACAGTCATGGACAACATTTGGTGCTTTTACTCTCTGGAAGAAGAAATGTGTGGAAAGTAAGTAAATAAAAATACTAGACAAAATCCTTTAATCCTTAAGATATGTAGGTGTGTGTGTGTGTGTGTGTGTGTATGTCTTATATAAAATGTTTCAAGTATAAATCTAAATTTACCTTTTGTGTTTCATATGTTGTTTCTACAGCAGGAACTTGCTCTATCGTTCGAAGTGTCCAGAGAAGAGACAAAATGGAAAGGTAGAGCTTATCTTCCTTGGAGTTATTTTCCACCAAATGTGACAAAATTCAATTCATTTGCAATTCATGGATCAAAAGAGAAAAGAAATTATGAAGCTCTTTACCCTGTACCTCAACATGAAGTGCAACAAGGACAAAAACCTGATTTGTAAGTAGCAAATAAATGAAGATATGTTCTGATTCTGAGTTTTTTGGAAATTAATTTGTGGCAGAACAGTAGTAACATTTTTCACTCAAAGGAGGCATGTGTACAAATACCTAGTAGAGTAGTACAGCTAGTGACAGTCCTCAGTAAATACTTGACAGACTGACTTTGGGCAGTCTACTTACTGCTGTCAGTAGAGCACTTACATTTCCATAAGCAGTATGAGGAAAGTCTTGCTTAGTGAGTATTGCAGGGGCTAGTATAAAAATATGGTTCCAAATTCATTTATGATCACTTTCAGAGCCAAATGACCAGAGGCATCCATGTTTCCTGATGTGAGTGAAAGGTTAATAAATCTTTTCCCTTGCTGTTTGAGAATGTGATCTTCAATCACCTTTCTAGCTGTCTTCCCCTGAATGATAAAAATATCAGATATATTTTTAGGCAACATTGCTTGTCATAATAATGGCCGTTAATTGGTAAATTGATTCTTACCTGAGAGGAATTATGAATAAACTATGAATACCTGATAGGGGCAGTATGGCTTTGAGATTTCCCCTTAACGGTATCATTCCTTGTGGGGATGTAAGAAACTATGCCTATGAAGTTATTATTGCAAGATATTTGGCTCCTGTGGGGCAGCAGAGGCATGTAAGCTAAGGTATCTCCTACATTTTCTCATTTTGAGGCTTATTTCTTTGCACCTGAACCTGTCACTTAAGGAGAATATAGTTCCTGCCCAGACTAATAAATGCTTCATGGACTGCTGTAAACACTGCTTCCTTAGGGAGGAAAGGCACATGCTGTTCTGAGGCAAGCTGAGATTCCTACTCTGTGTCTTTCTGTGTGTCCCTAGTGTAGCCAAGATCGTCTGCTGAGATTGCATGTTTAGAATAGCCTAACAGAGATATCCTGGTGGGCTTTGCACCATGGTAGACTGACTTTCTTGCCTTTTTACCTTTAGAAAGGGCTATATTGCCATTCCTCTCCCTTAGCTTTCACCTTCCTGTCACACTCTTTACTCACTTCACCTTTATCTTTTCTAGCCACTTGCCTTTATTCTGCCTGAAACACTTTTCCTTCTTCCCTTTGCTTTTGTTCCTAGTCCTGACCCTTTCTCTTATCCTTCACTGTTGTTTTCCTAACGTCTTTTTTTTTAATTTAAAAAATTTTAAAAATTGAAGTATAGTTGATACACACTGTTACATTAGTTTCAGGTGTACAACTTAGTGATTCAATAAGTCTGTACATTATGCTACGCTCACAAGTGTAGCAACCATCAGTCTCTGTACAACAAATGCCATTACAATACATTTCCTGGGCTATATTGAGTAGATAGGCTGTACTTTGTATCCCCATGATTTATTCATTTTGTAACTGGAAGTTTCCTTAACTTCTCAATCCTGCATTGATGACATGACTCTAAACCAGGTTCCGCCTGTCCAGGGGGGCAGAATGGGACAGGAATCCAGATGCAACTCACTCAGGGCTCCGTATCAAGATAGCTTGTTTGTTTGGTTCTTTACCAGCTAATGCCTTTCTGTATTCAGTCTCCTCGTTTAGAAGTTGTTAGAGTTTTACCCTAGATTAAAGTATGATCATACCATTGGCCAAGGTGGAGTTAGGGCAAAGTGATTTCCTGAACATCTGAGATCCACTATAACATGTTAGTGAAGCCTTTCTCTCCTCATTAAGCCACAATAGTTAAATGGTTTTTCTGGAAAGGAAAGAACTGGGATTAAATCTCTTTTACATTAACCTCCCTTGCTTTGGCAAAATAGTCTATTCTCTAGTCTATGGAACTGAGACTTTAAAAACAATTATCTATGTGGCATATAAAGCACATAAAACTTTAACTGTAAAAACATCTGTAAGAGTGTAATATTTGTTTAAGGCAAGATAGAATGAGTCAGGTTTTGAGGGTTGATTTTTATTTCTCCCCTTGGCCATGAGGGAGCTTTTGCAGAATTGAGAGTGCTTTGAGATGTGGCTGAATTTCAGAGCCGAATGTTTCATAGAAAGAATGAGAAAGTTGTACACATAGAATACGTCTTACCTTTGGTATTTTTAAAATAGAATGCTGTTCTGTCACAAATGTGACAAAATAAATAGCCCTTGAGGACATCTATTTCACAAATGCAGAATTCATTTCAATTCCCACCTTCTTTTTCTTTGTGTTTAGCCATCGTCTGGAATACTTCAAACCTTTCAGTTTTAACACACTGCTTGAAGAAGAATGGAAACAACCAGAATCAGAGCTGTGGCTTATGGAGAAACCTAATATATAGGAGTATGGTTGATGATCATATCAATCATTTCCTCTCTGTATCTTTTAAGGTAAACCAATAATAAGTATAATCTCTTTTAATCATAATACAAGTAGCACATTTCAACAACAAATATTTTCATAGAAGTCATTGAAAATATATTGTCTCTGGGGCAAGTTGTATATGAGTTAACAAGAAAATAGAAGGGTTGTAGATGAGTTTATCTTGGAAGTTACCATGTTCCCCAGAGTCATTTAGTCCAGAAGTGACCATGTCAGTGAGTTTGCTGTCTGCCTTGTACCACTGTCACCCCAAATATCCCTGACTCGGTCAACCAATATTATTTCTCTTCCCACTTCCCTAAACCTCAGTTGGCCTGAGACTGGAACATGTTATTTGCACATGTTTTAATTCCATGTAATGTACAATAATTCTTTACTCAGAATCTTCTGTGCATTCTTGAAGTGGGTTGAAAACAATGAACTATTTCAGTTGAGAAGGAGATCCACATCTGTTAAGGCATTGTTAAGATACATATGTGTTTAACCAGCTGTTTTTCCTGTCTTGGAGGCTCTTTTTAGTCTGTAGAAGGAAATGGAATGAAATGGCCTTGAATTTGGACAACAGATTCTACACTCATTTACAAACAGATGACACTTTCTTAATGCTATTAAACCAGATGTCAAAATGTCTTGTGAACATCAAACACTCCTGGTCTAGAATTTTCAAATTTTGTACTTATAAAATAGTTCAGAGTTTGAAGCCATCTTAGTAGATCATCTATGAACTTTTCCACTAGTGGTCTTCCACTAGTATTCTTAACTCAGAGATTAGCAGCCTTTTATAACTTGTGCAGAACACACAACAATATACTTTATTCTCTTCTTTTTTACTAATAGAACTTGAATTTTTAGAGTCATGCTCTAAAACATTTTTCTGGATTCCTTTGAAGATAGAAATGGCATGGTAAGACAGCTCAGGTTAATGAGATATAAGTATAAGATATAAGTTAATGAGATATAAGTGTCAAGTAGAACTTTAAAGAAAGATGACTTGAAAGATTGAGCTGTCATACACTTTTTGTACTTTGCCTTCCCCTTTTCTTTTTCCTGAATTGCATAATTGGAACCTGAGGTAACCTACTAGCTATATTATATCCATGAGGAGAAAATCCAGGGAGAGCTGAACAGCAAGACAAAGGATCCTGGGTTATAAACAGTGCAGTAGAGTAACATACCATATCTGGACCTATTGACCTCTTTCTGCAGGAGAAAAGAAGCTGCCTAATTTGTTTTCCCAAGTTGATCTATAGATTTAATACAATCCTAGATAAAAATCCCAGAAGGCTTTTTTGGGGTCTAAATTGACAAACATTAAAACTTTATCTGAAAATGCAAAAGACCTCAAATAGCCAAAACAATTTTGAAAAAGAACAGAGGTTGAGGACTTCTATGACCTGACTTCAAGACTTACTATTAAGCTTCAATGAAGACAGTGTGACATTGGCATAGATTTAGACAAATATGTCAAAGTAACAGAGAAACCAGAGAGAGAACAATATGCAGTCAGTTGATTTTTTTTTACAAAGTTACCAATTGATTTAAAAAGGGAAAGGATAGCTTTTCAACAAATGATATTGGGATAACTGAAAAAAGCGTAAAAACAAAACCTTGACCCCTACGTAACCTTCAGAAAAATTTACTTATATGTGACTGGTGAAATGAAAAAAATTCTAGCAGAAAAATCTTCATAATCTGAAGTAGAGAAACATTTCTTTTCAAATAGGACATAAAAAGCACTAACTTAAAAGAAAGAGAAATTGGACTTCATCAAAATCAAAACTTTCTGTTCATCAAAAGCTTCCATTAAGAAAGTAAAGAAACAAGATACGGATTGGGAGAAAATATTCAAAATACTCATATCTGACAAAGGACTCTTACCCAGAATATATAAAGAACTCCTACAAACCAGTAATAAAATGAGAAGCCAGTTAAGGAGACTCAGACACTTCACAAAATATATGTATATATATACAAAAGGCCAATAAACATCACTTATCATCCAGGAAATGCAAATTAAAACCACAAGATACCACTAAATGACTAAAATTACAGAATATACACACTGGTTAAATGGCTAAAACTAAACAAGACTGACAATATCATGCAATAATGAGAATGTGAAGTACCTGGAACTTTCATACAGTATGGACAGGAATTACTTTGGAAACTGGAAATTTTGAAAGTTAAATATACACCCTGTGTTTCAGCAGTTTCATGCCAAGGTACATACTCAAGAAAAGTGAATGTTTATGGAAGTTTTATTCATAACGCAAAACATAAACAATCAAGTTTCTATCCACAGGAGAATGGATAGACAAACTGTGAACTAGTTAGACAATGGAATACTACTTGTGAAAAAGAATGGACTACTGATGAATGTAATAACATACATGAGTCTCTAAAGCATTACGTTGAGCAAAGTAAACCAGACAGAAAATTCTGTATAACTAATTATATGAAGGCTAAACTAAGCTGTAGTGATGGGTCTCAGAACACCTGTTGCTCTGGGTGAGGGCAGAGGATTCAAATTGGCTGGAAAAGGGACCTGAGGAAATTTGAGGGGGGTGGGTTGAAATGTTTTGTATATTGATCTGGCTGACAGTCATATAGCTGCATATGTTTGTCAACATTCCCCAAATTGTATATTTAAGATATATGATTTTACTATTTGTGAATTATACTTTAATAAAATACGATTATAAAATAAACTGTAAATTAAATGGTGTTAATTTCTACTGTATATTGTCTCATTGAACAATCGCTAGTTCTAGTTAGATGTGGCTTATTAACTTTTTCATTTATTAAGTATGTTTTCTATTCTGAAAAGAACTGGTATAAGATGAATACTGACTTTTACAAAAGCTGTAAGTGTCTTCATAACTACATATCATGTTGTCAGTGTTAGGCATCCTAGATAAATTCAGAAAATATTTTTTAAAATCAACAGTAGCAACTAATTTGGTATGGCAACAATATGCCAGTTTCTGATAGAAAAGGCCTATTTGGGGTGCCTGGGTGGCTCAGTCAGTTAAGTGTCAGACTCCGACCAGGTCATGATCTCACAGTTCATGAGTTTGAGCCCCCCTGCATTGTACTCTGTGCTAACATCTTGGAGCCTGGAGCCTGCTTCAGATTCTGTATCTCCATCTTTCTCTGCCCCTTTCCTGCTCTTGCTCTCTGTCTGTGTCTGTCTCTCTCTTTCTCTCTCTCTTGCTCATTCAAAAAATGACTGAACATTTAAAACATTTTTTTAAATAATGCATAGTGCATTACTTATAAATTACCTGAAGCAGTCTTACAAATGCATAAAAAAACTATCCCCCCCAAAAAAGATATATTTAGTGTGTCCTGATGTGAGACGTGAATCAATCATTCTGAATCACAGGTTCAGATATAAAGCATAGCTGTTTATAATATGGGGGAAAGCAAAGTACTAATATTTTATATATAATCATAACCATGTAAAATATTGAATTTGAATATTGTGGTTTGTGAACTTTCTAAAACCCGATATGTATCCTCTTTTTTCTGTTTAGGCGTCTTTAAAATATCTTTTAAATTTTCTTCTCTCTAGATAAGACGCATTTTCCTTCTTCCAATACCAAGCAAGCAAAAGCACCTTATGTAACCATTTTCTTTTGAAAGGAACATGCAGTTCAACCACAGAATTTTAGAAAATGTGTCCATTAGTAAGATACAAACAATGCACCCTATAGAAACTTAGTATTTAGGAGTGTTGTTTGTAATCACTGTTTCAAATTTGCTTTTCAACTTCAGGACCATGACAGAATAACCATTCTTTTATTTAACATATGTATAAATCCATTTCCTTGCTGTGTTCTGAATTGTTTACTACAGTATCATGCAAATTCTCTCTTCTCACCACCTAAATAGATTACACAGTGCATGCATTTATTCAGGTGTTTTCTCATGCTTTTTTACAGCTCCAGTAAAGTGTAAGTCACAGTTCAGGAGGAAATACAGTAGTCTCTCCACCCCCATCTGTAGTTTTGCTTTCAGTGGTTTCAGTTATCTCCAGTCAACCGTGGTCCAAAAGTATGAAATGGAAAATTCCAGAAAGAAACAATTCATAAATTTTAAATTGCACACCATGTTGAGTATTCTGATGAAATCTCCCACTGTCCTGTCTAGGAATGGAATCATCCCTTTGTGCAATGTATCCACACTGTATATGCACTACCCACCCATTAGTCACTTAGCCTTCTGAGTTATCAGATCAGCTGTCACAGTATGGCAGTGCTTGTGTTCAGGTAACCCTTATTTTACTTAGTAATGGTCCCAAAAGCTCAAGAGTGGTGATACTGGCAATTCAAAGATGCCAAAGAAATGTCAGAAAGTGCTTCCTTGAAGTGCAAAGTTGAAAATTCTCAGCTAAATAGGGAAAGAAAAAAATCACATGCTGAGGTTGCTGAGATCTATAGTAAGAACAAATCTTCTATCTGTGAAATTGTGAAGAATGAAAAAAGAAATTCATGCTGGTTTTATTGTTACTGATCCCTCACTGATCCTAGTTTTAGGCACGTATGTAGAGTAAAAAACATGTATGTATAGTAAAAAATATATAGGGTTTGGTACGATCCATGGTTTCAGGCATTCATTGGGGGTCCTGTGACATATGCTCCACAGATAAGGTGGGGGAAGGACTACCGAATACTTTGCATTTTTAGCCAGTTGCATTTTTTTTTACATTAAAAAATTTTTGCCACGGTAACAGTATTTAATCTTTTCTTCTGTTTCTCCTTTTTAAAACATTAGGCTTTAGGGGCAGAAGATAATATAATTAATCTGATATTTAAAAAGGAAGAAGAAAGGATACAAATGGTAAAGCAGTTACTATAAGCCTTCAGCTCTTCCAGTAATGAAGAGCCATGCTTTTTTTTTTTAATCTTTTTTAATATTTATTTTTTGAGAGAGAAAGACAGACTCAAGTGGGGGAGGAGCAGAGAGAGCAGAAGAGACAGAATCCAAAGCAGGCTCCAGGTTCTGAGCTATCAGCACAGCGCCTGATGCGAGGCTCAAACCCCCGGACTGTGAGATCATGACCAGAGCCAAAGTTGGACGCCTAACCAACTGTGAGCCACCCAGGTGCCCCACAGAGCCATGCTTTTGAAGTCATGCTTCAAAACCAAAGGATCATCTGCTTTTTTTCCATATAAATTTCCATAGTATTTTAACATTGCTTTATTAGAGCACTTACCCTACTATGAAAGTTCTTCTGGCCCAACTTTTATCCTCTAAGCCTAACATTTTTACTCCAGCAACCAGTGGTTCTCCTTCCTGTGCAGGGCTTTGCTGTTGCCTTAGCTTCATGGAACATGTGCAGGAACCCATGTAGCCATTCTCACACATAAACTGCCCTGGCTGTGTGAGGTAGCTAACACCACATGGGGCAACTCTTCCTACTTACCTACTCCTGTTTGAATTACTTCGCTAAAATCAACCTACATGCAAGCTCTCGTCCCAGGTCCATTTTATGGGGAATCTAGGCCAAGTCAGTTGTTATCTGAAATGGCCCTAGAAAGGAGCCTGCCAGGATGGGAATCAGAGCTGAATCACTCTTGGGGCAATTCAGTGATAGGGACACCATTGGTGGTGGTGTTGATTCTGGTGTAACATCACAGTTACTAAGATTTTCTTCAGCGGTAGACTGTCTTGAGGTGCTGGTGAAGTTCAAACATCAGTATAAGCGATAGGTAGCACTTGGCATAAAGACAGTGGCAATAATAAAGACTGTGAAGTTCGTGGGTTATTTTCTTTTCTATTGTTAAAATAATTCTAACATCAAAATAATTTTATTTGGTATTTCTCCGTTAATAAAAAATAACATCTTGGAATTTGGAGAGGATTCTGGGAAGATGGTAGAATAAGAAGCACCAGGAAATCTCTTTCCCCACCTAGACAACACTTGCTTTCACAGAACTGTCTGATAAAACTTTTTTTTTTAATTCTGAATTCTTAAGGTGGACTTGACTGTTTTTTTGATAAAGTCTTTAGATGACTTGAGAAGAAAAATAAGCAACTACAAACTCAAGGTACACTGTGAGCATCAGAAAAATGTACCTCAGTGTTTGAAAAGCCCTATTCACAGCAGCTAGAGCGAAAACACTATGGAAACTCAAACTCAGGGTTAATGGTAATGATAGCTACACTCCTAAATACTGAGCCTTGACAGGTCTCCTATTTTGAAATGAGGATCTCTAATGGAAAGAGTGGGATCCATGACTTGCAGTGGGGATATTTGTGTGGATGAGCCTGTTCTGGTGTACCTTGAATACCAGATTTTTCTTCACCCTCTAGGCTGGCAGAAGCAGCTCCTTTAACCTTGTTAGAGGCAATTATTGTCAACTTGCCTATTGTCAACACCTGAAACAAGTGCCTCGTAAATAATCCTTGTTCTCAAACTATGCCATCTCTTCACGAGACTTAAAACGAGGGTCAAATTACAGCACTTCCCAAGGGGTGGTAGAAATAAGTACATGCTGTGAGAAATACTGTGCATACTGGAAGGATACAGGACCTGGAACCGGGGGAGCACATGTTGGAGTGTATCTAGAAAAGTTAATATTTGTGGCTGGAAAGGGAAAATGTATATTGACATGAGTTGTTAAATTGGGGTCTTAACATCTTAACAAGAACACTTGGAACTTGTCTTAACATGCTGCTTGCTGACCTGAATTCTTGAAGCTGGATGAAATGGTGTCTTATAGAACATGAAGGAGAAATGCTAAACTTGCCTTGGTG